TCAAGAGGAGGTTAGATAGGTATCTAGCTGGGGTCATCTAGACCCAGGACTCTTTCCTGCCTATGCAGGGGGTCGGACTCGATGATCTATTGAGATCCCTTCCGACCCTAACATCTATGAATCTATGATAAGTAGAAGCAAGAGAGTTGCGTTTGGGAGTGCAAGGGTAATAAGGCAGGACTGGGAGATCGGGGCTACCTGAAGATGGGGAGAGGGAAGAGAGTAGGGTGGGCAGTCAGCAAATGCAGAATCATAGGCCACGTGCAGACGAGCAGGTTTGTGTGTTTCCCCAGGGACAAGTAGCAGTGGCACACCTTGTGCCGTTGTTGCCTGTCCCCAGGAAATGCCCATGCCACAGCCACTCTGGCACACGGTGCATGGCCCCAGCAGCCTTACCTGGGGGCCTCTGGGAGCTGTAGCCGTGGCACTCCTGCAGCGGGGAGCCTGGCTGACATTTGGAGCATAGATCCAGCTGGCCAGCCTCTGATTTTGAGCAGTGTGCGCTGCTGTCACATGCACTGCCCCACTTTTTTTGCCGTGGGTTTTTTTGACCCTGTGATCTCTGCAAAGTAGCAGCATGGGGAATGCCTGCATGTGCGATGTGGGGCTCTGCAGACAGATCTGCAACGCCGCACACCGCATGTCTGCGCTTGTCTGGACACGGCCATAGAGTCCTAGAGCAGTGAGGCTGGAAGGGAGCTCCAGAGGTCGTATCTAGTCTAACCCCTGCCTGAGGCAGGATCAGCCTTGTTCATGTCATCCCAGACAAATCCATAATCTAAGCTCTCTCTAAAACTACCATCAACCCTGACACCACAGCAGACATCACACCCGAACCTGCCTCAGAGAAAGCAGGAGGACCATGGCAGCCAGCGTCTTGCTGCTGCAAGGGGTGTTCATATATGCTCCAGAGAGCCCAGGAAGAGGCTGTGCTCCTGCAGTAGAGAAAGGCAAAACCCCCTGGTCTGTGCCCAGAATTCCTTCCTCACGCCAAATGCCGTGATCAACCTGACCCTTAGCAGAGGGGCAACAGCCTCTAGCCCGGAACATCCAAGTTCAGGTCCCAGCAGGAGCACTGGCCCAGCCCAGTCCGAACCGTGTCCAGAACATACATTCTCCAAATGCTGCGCAGCCGGGGGCTGTGCTGATCTGAGAGGGTCAAGGCTCCCATGGGTTCTGCCCGGCAGTTGCACGTAGTAGGCTGAAGAGGAAGAATGCTTACGACAGCGTGACCGGCAGACTGCTAATAGTGCATGTTGTTGCTCCTGTCGGCACACAGCAGGAGCATCTTGCTTCTCTCCTTTCCTCCCACAAGCTTCGTCTGCATCTTCTTCCCATCTCCATCTATCTCAGGGACCTGCTGCAATCCCACCCTTCATGCCAGGGGCTCTCCACATCCCTCTTCCCCCATAGGAGGCTCCCTCATTATCTCTGTTGTCAGGAGCTGCGTAGCCTTGCATTCTTCCTTTCATCCGTGTCGGGAGCTCTGTGTGACACCCTTCCCCCCACCCTGCATGCAAAGCTTTCCCTGTGCTAGGGGCTCTGGGTTCATTCTCTTGCCGCATGCCACCCTGTGTCCCCGCACTGTCCTAACCTCTTTTTTTCCCCGTTCAGAGCTGTAGGTTATGGGATATGGCAGTGCTGGAAATGGGGTCATATGCTGTTAATTAACTATGCTGTTAATTTCTGCCGTTGGTTGGCCCTTTCATCTGCAGAAAAATCTCCCAGCCCAGACTCTCTTCTCCCCCCACCTTCCTGTTCTGCTTTTTCATACGTTTGCCCAAACCAATAAACTCCAGCCTGTTAATGCTTACAATAAGGCTGTCCAACTTCAGTGTTGCCAGTGGCCACGTGCTGCTCAAGTTGCAGGCCCTGGACTAAATACTGTGCGGGCTCCCTGGGACCCCCACCAAGTGCAGCCCCCCTGCAGGTACCAGTGTGTGGGTGAATTTCCCATTGCATCACCACTGCATGAGCAGGGACACCCCCCCTCCATTTCGTACAAGTCCTTCTGCTACCACCATGCAGGTGGTCAAGTTGGGACAACCCTGGCTTAGAACATTCCTTGAAAGTTTGCAGTGGATTCAATGCATTATTCAGAATTAATTGCATTGTATTAAAGCAGAGACTTACTGTCAGACAGTGTCAGGGTCTTGCCGTTGCCACCAGTAACACTCCAAACAGTAAATGGGGACCAGTTCAACTGAGACTTCTTCCAGTCTGGGAGGAGGTGGAAAAAACTTTAGGTTTATAAAGCCTTTAGGGCCGGTTGTAAGGGCAGGATCTGGAATCCTTTCCCAACTTCTTGTGGGGAACTTGGATTTACCTTATTTCTCCTTGGTCACTTCCCCATCTATAAAATGAGGATTGTGCTTTCTACACATGAATGGTGTATTCGGGACAAGTTCCTGGACACAGATGCTTTGCTGATGGGGTCCATGGAAGTAAATTAGACATTCTTTAAATATTGCAGAAAGCCTAGGCCTGATGCTGTCAAGCTGGTGTTTAGCGATCCATTTAGTGGTGTTGGAATTGTTTGTTCACTCTCTGGCAGTCACTAGGCGCATCTACACTTACAATTAATGCTATTTGGTTTTACTGCGTTGTAAATTTACCACTCGGTAAACTATTTTACTGTGCAGTAAGTGCCTGCGTGTGTGGACAGTAACACTTTACTGTGCAGTAGACTAATCAACTGTGTAGTAAAGCATCTCATGTAGACACAGCCACTGATGACTTAACGTGCGGTTGCACTTGCTCTTGATCATTTACTCTGATCCATCTCTGTCGTTGGAAAGGACAGGCCTAACAGGAGTACTGATGCGTGTTCCTGCTCCCTACTAGGAAGAGAGATGGGTGCAGGAGTATACACAGACATCTGCTGCTTATTTTTATCACCTAGAATATTTACATCCATGTTTGTGAACGCCTTGTGTTAAAAATGATAACAAACCTTCCGCCAGTGCGTACATGTAACACTTCCAGGCACATCTGAATGCCCAAATATTTATTTGTGAGGTGTTAAACAGAAGGATGCATCTTTATCCTTTTCCTTGCTGCCTTCACCATGCAGAGTAAACAGCATACTCTGTATCAGCCTGCTGCATCTGCTCTATAGGTTTGTATTTACACCGTAGTCTAAACTTTAGTTAGCTGTAAATCATCTCTCTTAAAGAAGAGCTGTGAATTTGAAGAGGGAATTATGAGGGCAGGCAGTGGGGCTGGGACAGACAGGGGTTTCATGTTTTATCCAAGCTTCAACTATTATATTTCTTCTTTCTCTTTGCAGGGTAGAAGGATTGATGGACTCGTTCTCTCAGGGATTTGAAAGGTCTTACACTGTCAATAGCAGCATTTTACATGGTATTGAACCACGGCTAAAGGATTTCCACCAGCTTCTCCTCAATCCCCCCAAGGTAAAGCACTTCAGCCTTTCTAGATGCTAAGCGGCTAATTACCTGTATTTGAGGTGTCCTTTCCTTTCTGTGTAACATCACTTCCTTCCTAGAGGTTTCCAGTTTTGTTCACCTGAAAGTATTGTGTAATGACACAGACTCTTTACAATAAATTGAAATCTGACTTGAATTCTTAGAAGGGGATTCAGAGTTGAGGTTAGCACTTCAGACACCTAGGAACAAAGCAGGGGGAGATGGTACTTGAGGCACTGGGTTTGAGTAGGAAATGATAGGGTGATCTGTCATGACTGGAGTTAGGAGGCTTGCACCACGAGAAACTGGATGTGTCAGAGTTGGAATTGGGTGGTGGTCCGTGCGTGCGTACACTTAATCCTGAGAGAGGTATCTTATCTGATGGCCACACTGTAAGAAACACAGAATTTGTGTCTTTTAAAATTACATTCTTATTTATACCTCTTTGACTGTATTTAAGAAATCAGGTATAAAATCACTGTCCCGAGTTTTTTGCTACCTTTTAAATGGCTCCTTACTTCATTTACTGTCTAGCTTCAGGCCAGAAAGGGAGTGTGGTTTAAGTAATCAAATAGTTGCCTTTTTAGAAGTGATTCATGTGAGGAGGTGAACCGGCTGGATAACATCAGACTAAAAGCCATGTTCAGTAAGGCCATTTTGACCTGTGTTCAGATGGATCTAACATCTGTTTCCTCTTCTGTTTGTGGTAGAAAACATCAATCCTAACTACTATTGGTGTCTTGGAGGAGCCGCTGGGGAACGCTCGCCTTCATGGAGCTCGACTGATAGCTGCTCTGCTCCACACAAACACTCCCAGTATTAATCGGGAACTATGCAGGCTCAATACCATGGACTTATTACTTGTGAGTAACACGGTGTGACGTACTGCGGAGGAAGATGTTGTTTTAAGCTGAAAACATGGCCACTTTCTTTTTTGATCTGCTACATTACTGGAACAATTGATATCTAAATCCCAAGGTCTGTTTCAGTGCATTAAGCAAGTGCAATTATATGATAAAGTCTATTTGGAGAATAAATATTCCTACTTTCAGGAGATTACAGAAGTAATTAAGGTGCTGACACAAAAGTGTGCATCTCATTTGAAGGGTGCGTGTTATGCGAGAGAGTCCCATATGCTTCGTAACTTGGGATGTTTGACAGTGTTTTTTGTTGGTCCCAGTTGCAAATAAGTTTATGTGGAAAGGGCTGATCAGGCCGGCCCTGAACTGATATTTTGCTTTTCTTTACATTGTTCCAGGACTTATTTTTTGCATACACGTGGAATAACTTTTTGCATTTCCAAGTGGAACTGTGCATAGGAGCGATCCTCTCGCACTCTGTGCACGAAGGGAAAACAACAACGAATGACCTGGAAAATAAAGAAGAGGTACTGAATGGGAATGTGACCACAGAAAACTCAGAGACTCCAGACAACAGGCCAGAAAATATCATGGTGACGCATGTGAGTCTAGTCATGTCATGTGAGAACCTTAGGTGGATGGATTTGGTAGAGGTCTTGCTTAACAAGAAAGTAATCTGATAAACTGCTCAAGAGGGCATGGTGATGTTTATCAAAACTGTCTAGACTTCGTTTTGTTCTTCCAGTTTTGGACGGAAATGTACTTGCCTTTCTGCAGCTGATTTGTTGGCTCGTTTGTAAATGAAGCCTCTTACCCTGTTCATTAATAAGCTTAGAGATCTCTTTTCCTTTTATCTCTTACTAAACATGCATAGAAAGTTTAGACAAAAAAAGAACAATCACCACTATTACACACCCCTGACTTCTCTGTTTGTGCCTGTGCTTCTCCTGAAAAGCTTCTTTTTCGCGGGGGTTATGAAACCACAGTTGCTTCATTCACTAGTATGATGCTGAAACCTCTAAGGACATCCTGAAAAAGATTTTAGGTATCACTGTCTTTCCTTTTCCTCTAAGGCAAGAGGTATCTTAAGCTATAGAGGAAGCTTTATGCCTTTTATGGGAGATGTGAGAAATGTTGGACCTTTTTATAAGGTTCTTGTGTAGTTTGCCCTTTCAAGGCAAATCCATTTAAAACACATTTTAAAGTACTTCTAAGTGACAGAAGGAATAGAGATGAACTGAAGTAACACACAGTTTAAGACAGGTTTGCCCAGGGGATGGGATTGTCCTTAGCTAGTGTCTTAACCGCTCTCATTTTTTCTCCTTCTCCAGCTGTTCCAGAAGTGCTGCTTGGTGCAGAGGATATTGGATGCCTGGGAAACCAATGATAAAATACAGTAAGGAATTTTTGTTCTAATGGGGGTCCCAGTTCTAGGGCTGTGGATTTTGAATTCTCCTTTGAATATTCTTTTGCCTGTTTGAATAATTTGCAAAGTTTTCTAGCATCCTTGAAAAAGAACCCACGTTGTTTTTAGCTGCTATGTTGTGATTTTAATTACAAATACGGATAGCAGACCCTTGTGCATGTATAGGAGACTGGGAATGACCTCAGACCATTCTGCAAAATATGTTTCATTCTCGTCTTAAAGAATACCACATTGGTTTACTTATTTTTAATAAACCAAAATCAGGGGTTTGCATTTTTTATCCCTTGTGAAGAGGAAGGGCAGTAGCACCTAGGTTGACAGACATTATATTCCTCAGTTTTCTAGCTGAGGAAGCCACTCAGAAAACATGATGATTGGTACGACCCAAGAATTTAAAAAATAATGAAAGAAGTGTGAACGACTGTGGTTGGAGCTGCTGTTTCCTTGTTCACCTAAACCTTTTGCTCTGTACTTTCAAGCTGTGAGGATCTATAAATAATAATTGCTGTACAGGCAATTGTCAACTCCTGACAATACTTATGTGGTAAGCCATGTATTCAAAACCCCTTTTCTTTTCCTTCCACAGCACTTCCTGCTGCTGGTGGTCCATTTTACTTGGTGTTAACTCTTAGTGTGCGTCAGAACTTCGGAGGGGAAACAAGCAAAACATTAACTTCGATCCAGTTAGAGAAAACCTAGTAATTTAGGTAGCTGATTTCGCACATCCTTTCATTTGTGCCATCAAAGTAGCAAACAGCAAGTGCGTGCATGGTAGGAATAGATTGTTGGATAGTGTCAAGATAAGAGTCTAGCTTGCGTGTTATTATTAATTGAGTATTAAAACTGCTCCTTGACCCGGTCAGCCCAGATGGCAAGTTGTGGATCCTGCCTCTCTCGTTTTTCAAATTAAGTGGCTAGGAAACCATACATAAAGACGGCGCATGGCTGTGTTGCATTGTAGAGTATGGTTTTAATATTTTGGACAAAAATAGATGCAACTGGCAGAAGCAGGACTTTTGAGAGGAGTGGAAGGAGAGGGCTTTTTACACAACTGTTACCTACATTCACATATGTCCACTGTTCTCTCTACAGATAGCTGGAAAAATGAGACCGAACATTCACTTTTTTTCATATAGTAGTGCCACTGGTAGGAGACGCATCTCATTTTGGGTTACAGCCATGTCACTCTTTTGAGGTTCTGGCAATGCTTGGGGTGCCCTTGATTTTTAACTCCTAACACAGGCTCAAACACTTAGCTGTGACTTCATATTGTTAGAAGAAATGGGTCCTGTGTAGGAGTGAAGTGAAACATCTGTCAGCTTAGACTTGAACATGAAGGGTTACTGGAACAGCATGTAGAAAACTAAAGCAGTTACAGGGAGGAATCAACATGAAAGCAGCCTGCTACCTCAAAATTAACTTTGGGTTTTGGATTAATTTGACTATATTGAAGTCAAAGGGTTTAGCATTTACTAACAGATTACTGGATTACAGACCATCAGCTTCCACTTGGAGTACAGAGAAGTGGTTTTCTTTGATAGTATCCTGCTTAGGATTTAGAAACAGGGGACAGCCTTCTTGATGTGCTGTTATGATGGGCTTTTAATACAATTTGATGTTTGACCTGCTAATTTTTAAGCCTTGCTGTCTGTATTAATTTAATATGCCTCAATCTTGGAATAGTAGATAGTGGGATTCAGCTGTTTTGGTATTTGCTTTTTCATAGAATCATAGAAAATGAGGGTGGGAAGGGACCTCAGGAGGTCGCATCTAGTCCAACCCCCTGCTCCAAGCAGGACCAGCCCCCACTGCACCATCCCAGCCAAGGCTTTGTCTACCCTAACCCTAACCCTCCAAGTATTGAGACTCCACCACCTATCTGGGTAATCTGTTCCAGTGCTTTATTACCCTCCTAGTGAGAGAGTTTTTCCTAATATCCAACCCCAACTTCTCTTGGTGCAACTTGAGCCCGTTGCTCCTTCTGTCATCTGCCCCCACTAAGAACAGTCCAGCTCCGTCCTCTTTGCAACCCTCTTGCAGGGAGCTGAAGGCTGCTGTTCAATCCCCCTCGGTCTTCTCTTCTCCAGACTAAACACGCCCAGTTCCCTCAGCCTCTCCTCACCAGTCATGTTCCCCAGCCCCCAGCCATTTTTGTTGCCCTGCGCTGGACTCTCTCCAGTGTGCCCGCATCCTTTCTGTAGTGGGGGGCTACAGCTGGACACAGGACTCCAGATGTGGCCTCCCCAGTGCTAAATAGAGGGGAAGAATCACTGCCCTCGATCTGCTGGCAGCGCTCCTACCAATGCAGCCCAGGATGCCGTTACCCTTCTTGGCATCAAGGGCACACTGCTGGCTCCTGTTCAGCTTCTTGTCCCTTGTCCCCCCAGGTCCTTTTCTGCAGAGCTGCTGCCCAGCCCGTCCTCCCCAGCTTGCACCGGTGCAGGGGATTGCTCCCTCCTCAGTGCAGGACATTGCACTTGTCCTTGTTGAACCTCATAAGTTTTCTTTTGATCCATCTGTTTTGCTCTCTGATTTTTGAGAGAGACTCCTTCATTGGCTCATAGAAGGGCAAAGTGTGTTGGTGACTGCTTGACTTTATTCTGACTTTTTCTATTCTCTGTAATGGAGCAACTTATGGTTAGGGTTATGTTCTCTTGCTCAGAGACAAACAATTCAAATGCAAATGCGTTTTCAGTATGGCAGTGACTCATCCTTCTTAGTTCCAATGTATTTTTTTTCCTCTAGTTAAAATTATAAAAAGATGATCACTGATCTAGTTCTGTGCCAGTCTCTCATAGCGCTTAGTAGATGATTGATGTGTGTTAAAATTTTAGTGAAGATTTTAGCTGGCACCGAAGGCTATCCAGCGCATTTGGAGCAGGCAGGACCGCGGTCATCCCCTGTCGCTATCTGCTCAATCTACCTGGCCAGGATCCCTCATCTTGAGGAGACCCAGCGCCCCTCGGTGCAGGTGCGGGGTTGAGGCAGCATCTCAACATTGGCCTCACTTGCAGTAATTTCTGTTTGCGCAGATGCAATTACTGCTGCAGGAGCAGCAAGTGACACTTAAAGACTTGTTGATACGTGTTCTGTTAAACTGGTACCAACTGTTTGTTTTCAGGGCAGAAGGTGGCATGAGGCGAGGGAATATGGGCCACCTGACCCGAATAGCCAACGCTGTGGTACAGAACATGGAGAAAGGCCCCATGCAGACTCAGATCAGTGAATTCATTAAAGGTACATGCTCCATTTCCTGTTCAGTCCTGTATTTTGTGTGTTTCTGATCGATTCGCTCTTGCAGGGCTTCCTAGAGCATTTTTTGCCTTGCATTAAACGCTGTTGAGATGCATTTTTAATTTTTAAAAAAGGGGGGCTTACGACCATTTGTGTTAGATTCCCATCATTCAGACTTCTGGCCAGATTTTGGTCTTTCGTGTTTACATACAGCCATATCAGAGTCTGTCATTCTGCCTGTATAAGTGAGGTTGAATTTGTCCTGTACTGTCATCACTGGAGCATCCCTGCTGTACTTGCATTGTGGGAATCCCGTCTCTCGTCTGTAAACATATAACAATGAGCTTGCAGTCTAGTTTAAATAGAATACGGTATGACAGTATATTGTGTGCATGCGTGTGTGTGTGGGGGGGGGTGGTCCCTCACAGATCTTACACTTTAAACCAGTGGTTTTCAACGTGTGGTCTGCAGACTGTGTCTAAGGGGTCCATAAAAGATGACTGATCAGTCAAAAGTATGTGAATACCCACACTTACAATTCAAAGGGGTCGGTGCCTCCATTTACATTTTTAGGGATCTGCGAATGAAAAAAGGTTGAAAACAGAATAGTCGAACATGAGGGTTGGAAGGGACCTCAGAAGGTCTTTTAGTCTAAACCCCTGCTCCAAACAGGACCCGTCCCAACCAGTGCTTTATATTAAATTAGCCAGTTAATCGTGCCTTAAATAGTAATCCGACCACACGTTCATGCAAGTAGCGGTGTGATAAAATGGGAAATAAGCCACCTAAAGATTCCACAAAATCTGTATAATCATTTTTTGGCTGGTTTCCATTGTGTCTTAAGTTGAACATGTGGCCAGGTCCCTGCCAGGCAGCTTGATGTTGGCAGCATGGTGCGGCTCTAGGACCAGCCCCAGTGCAGTAGCAAGGCTGGGACTCCCCATCAGCCTGTTGGATCAGCCCCAGACAAACCCTGTGTCCGACCTCAGAGCCACACGACACAGTCACCCTGACACAGCCCCAGGCATCACCCCCGCCCCTGGGAAAGCAGGGGGGCCGCGGCCACCAACATCCTGCAACAAAAAATTCAATAATTGACTCAGCTTATTCTCCTCTTGTAATTCACTTGATCATTTAAAAATTTGCCCTGTTTCGATTGTCTTCATTGTCAGACCCAATCACCTGGGTGGCTGTGTGTTAAAACTGGAACTATTTATTTACTTACTTGATTTATATGCTGCCCTTCCTAACAAAGACTTGGTGCGGCTTACAGCAAGAGAGGGAATAATTCACGAAACAGGAGAGTGCCAAGAGAACAAAACCATTTTAATGGGAGCTGGAATATCTACATAAAACAGACTCCCCTAGACAATATCTCAGCCTAGCTTTGTTTGCTCAATGCCTGCTCAAACAGGGAGGGCTTACACCATTTCTGAAGGCCGTCCAGGCTCACGCTGTGGCTGGCTTTGCGGGGCAGGGAGTTCCAGAGCTGAGGAGTAAGTGCCAGCAGTGACCTCCCATGCCTTTTCTTCAAGTGGACTTGGTGCACTGCTGGTACTTGTAGGATGCATCGTGGTCCTGCATAAGCCAGCAGGCGGTCCCTGAAGTATGGAGGGCCCAGGCCATGTAGGGTCTTATTGGTGAAAACAGATACCCTGAATTGTGCCTGGAAAGCTATTGGATAAAGAGCACTGGAGTTGCGTGCTCCTGGTGACTCAGCCCCGTACAGAAGGCAGGCTGCTGCATTCTGGACAGTGTTCAGGGGCAGCCCTACTACACCCAGGATTGAAACCTGCCCACATGTTAGAGTGTATTACCTAGCACTTGCAGTACATAGTATCTCAGGTATAAGAAAAGACTCTACAGGTCCTTAAACTGTACAGTCTCTGTCCTCTGATACGCATCTCTGCCCATGTTGTCCACACTTCTAAGTAACACCCTCAGCATACCCTTTTTTTCTCTTAAATGTCCATGTTCTGAGATTTGGACCCATTTTTTTTTGTCTTCTGTTTTCTCTTTTGGATTCTTCCTTGCCTTCCAGCATTTTGGCTCCTGGGAGGGTATTTAAGGGTTATCATGTTTGTGTCACATCGTGTGCTAATGGGCCTGCTGGAGCAGAGGGATTACAGCCATGTTGCCTGTTGTACTGACAGTGTTGCAAAAGGTTTTGAGGAGATGCTTGCAGATCAGGACACTGGTCCTGGCTGGCTGCAAGATCTACACGTTGCGCATAACATGGGAGAAAGTGGGACTGAATTTTGCAGTGACTGCCACCGATTCTTGTTCCTTGAGCCCCCCTGAGCTATGTTAACCATGGCGATGGCCCTTCTGTTCCAGAGCTACCTGAGGATTGCAGAGGGAGGTGGGAGAGTTTTGTAGAAGAGACTCTGACCGAGACGAACCGGCGGAATACAGTGGATTTGGTGAGAACAGTGATAAATGCTTCTCTCTGTCACATGGGCCTGTTGCCTTCTGGCCGTTTCACTTGAAAGTTTTGGTGGCGGTGTTATGTGTTCTGATGTTTTCCACGATCACACGTGGCCAGCTTCCTTGTCCCCCCCCGACATTCACTGTGGTCTGTGTTTCAGGTGAGCACTCACCATTTGCACTCTTCCAGTGAGGATGAAGACATTGAGAGCGCTTTCCCCAATGAACTCTCCCTCCAGCAGGTGACGGATGCTGTGTTTTTTACTGTTGCTGAGGAGCATGTTCCTCTGGCTTCGTCCTTTAATCGTAGTCATTAGGCTTCCTGAACTTGTTTTTTTGCAAACTGCCCCTTTCGCTGCCTTGCGTCCAGCTAAGCTGTTAGCAAGAAATGTTTAACAAGGAAGGAAAGGCCAGTTGGGAGAAATATCACTTGCTTTCTGCAGCAGACTGGAAAGCTGACTGTAGCGAAGGGCTGTCCTCTGCTGAGATGCCCTGTGGGATCTGCTCATTAATTGAGAGGCAGGGTGGTTATTGTACAGGGCTGAATATCCTAGAACTGTACTCCTGCTCGTCCCAGTGCCCACTCTGTGAGCTGTCTGGTCTTTGGTTTTTCTCACTGTAAAATGGGGGCAATGATACTTGCCTCCTGTGAGGTGCTTGGACATCTGGATAGAACAGCACAATTTACATAAAAAGGGAAGGTGGGCCGATGGCATAAGCATGTCATAGAGAAGTAGTGCTGGAAGGGACCTCCAGAGGTCATCTAGTCCAACCCCAAACACAACATCCTGCATTCTCATACAAACTGGCCACATCTACCCGAGACACTTACTGCGCAGTAAGTCGTTACTACTGTGCAGTAGTGTTGTATGGCATGAGCCGTGATGCGGTGCTACTGTGCAATAGTAATATGCTGCTGGGCAGTAGTAATGAGCTACTGCACAGTCAGTGTTGCCACGAAGCTGTGTGGGGATGCTACTCACTGTAATGCTAGTTACTACGCAGTCATTTAGTACTTGGGTATGCAAGTATTAAATGACTGTGCTCAACAACTGCACAGTCAGCATCTAATGTAGACATGGCCACTGAGCAACAAATAAAGAAGCTCTTTGTTGTGTGGATGCTGAGTTTGAAGTCGACTCCTGATAATTGCTGTTTGAGACGGGAGGAATAATGGGAAGGCCAATGCATGCTGCGGAGGCGAGTGCTTGCACAGAGACTGTTAGATAAGAGCAGGGAGTGAGGGCCAGGGCTTAGGGAAAGGCAGATGCAGCAAACCACTAGGGCTTTGTGTGGATCAGGAGATCTCACAGCTTTGGGGGTGCTGCAGAGGTGGTAGTCAGTGGTGGAAGCATCTTTTCAATGTGTAGCAAGGAGGCCAGGCATTCTCTTTCTCCTTTTGAGCATTGTGGATAAAAGGGAAGTTGCCAAAACCAGCCAAAAGTTTGTCTTGCTGGTAGCATGAAGGTAACACTGGAGAATATGTGGATGGCTTCAATCTAAAGTCTAGTCAGGTTCCAGAAATGGTGAAATAGCTGATGCCCCTACACGCCACTTGTGTGGCTTTACAAGCATGCTTTCCTTCCCCTTGCTAGTGGTTTCCTTTTCCCAGTTGCAATGTGAAAAACCCTTGAGAACAAGAGGAAACGGAGTTGATTCCACAGGGGGTATTCCAGTATTCCCCCTGTGCTAGCAGAGTAACAGTCTGAACAGAAGTATGAACAGAAGTCCTTAAATACCTTGCTGGTCAGAACAGGTGCAGGACGTCAGGACCGTTACATGCAGTAGATTGGGCACTACAGCTGTACAGACACCTAGCCGATAAACCGAGCCATGGCTGGAGTGTGCTGAACAACAGCATCTCCCTTTGTGCCTGTGTTCAACTCCCTGAAACTGATTTCTTTGCACACTTGTGACTCTTTGCTGGTTACATCCCTCAGGCATTCTCAGAGTATCAGATCCAGCAGATGACAGCCAACTTTGTGGATCAGTTTGGCTTCAATGATGAAGAGTTTGCAGACCAGGATGACAACATCAAGTGAGTTCAACCATTGTGAATGGAACTGTTAGTCCTTTACTGGCTCTGTAGTCCTCCTGGACTTCAGTCGCTTCCTCTGGTTCAGGGCTTACGGTGGAGGATGCACTACCCTGCTCAGCTCGAAAATGTGGAAGATTGGTTATGGGCCTGAAAAAACAGTAAGTTCAGCGTAACAGGGTGGTTAAGAAGAAACAAGTCAGAAAACCCAGCTGCAAGGGCCCTGCTGGGAGCTTGAAAGTCTCTCAGCAGAAGCAGCAGCAAAGGAGTGGTGAAGGACAGACTCTTTTTGAATAAGGTGCTGTGTCATAACTATCTCTGTGCGTGCTGTTTTGTTTGATTAAAATCAGAAAGCGGTAGTTCTAAATTCAGGCAACAGTGCTGGCACTGTTCTGTCCAGGAAAGTTTTTAGTCAAGTCAGGAGCAGAAAACCAAAGACCTGCAGTAGGTGAACTGCCCAAGAACATCCAGCCACTCTTCCATATGTATAAGGGGACATTGATGAGACAGGGTGAGATCACACCTTCCAAGGAAGGGAAGGGTGGACAGGTTTCATTTTATGAAGCTGACCAAACTCAGCGTTCAGAAATGAGATCGTACCTTCGAGTGTGTGCATCATTAACTGCCTCTTCCCAGCTTCACTCCCACGCAGTTTTGGTAGCCTGCTTTGAGGCTTTTGTCATTTAAAATAAATAACATCTTGCAACTGTCCCACTTATGCGTCATGGTGAAAGAGTCGGAGGTCCCCTTCTGTCTTGTGTAATTTAATTACCAGTGGAAAAAACGTCAGCTGGCTGAGCTCCTTGTCCCTCGGCGAGCCAGTTCAGAGAAGTACGTAGCTGCAAAATGACCCTTTGAGTCTTTGGCAGCTCCGGGCAGGTGTAGGGTAGTGAGGGCCCGCTGTTTGTGGGCCCCAGTGAACTACCCGTATGTTTAAATTGTCATTTCATCTCAATTTTAACAGCTTCAGCTCTTTGTGTCATCTTTGAAATTTCTGTCAAGCAAAAGCCAGCAGCTTGCCCTGTGAGCATGTTGGCAGCTACCTTTGGTTGAGGCGGGGGAGATCTGGGGACAGGCGTGTGCTGATGCCTCGTTAAATAAAGAAAACTCCTTTTCTGTATAGAGAACCTTTTTGTGCCCCCTTTTCTGAGAATTGTGGACAGAAGGACCAGGCATTTTCAGTCTGTCAGGCAGTTGCACTGATTGTGGTCTAACCTAATTTTTTATGCATTTTTTCAGTAGAAATTAAACCTGTACTAAGAGGAGGTTAGCTCATACACTTGATGGGCAATGTAAAACTGAAAGAGAATTGTAACTGAAACATGCTATCCATTCCCTCATTTTCATCCAGAGAGGAAAGAAAGGATAAAGCAGTCTCTGCAGTGTCAGTTATTCTAGTTTTCACAGTAGTGTGGAGATCCCTTCCCCATTGGTGAAAGACATGAATCAGGGTGCAATAAAAAACTGAACCTTGCTTTACTGGGTTGGTGATGTTGTGCCTCTGCTGTAAAATAGTAAAAATATTCAAGCATAAGTCTTTCACTAAGGGGAGAAAGCTTAATAAATAGGATATAAATAATATCAGCGACCAAAGAAAGACACCCCCCTCTCCCCTTAGCCATACTAATGAGCAGGATACTGGACTTACAGCATCCTTTGTTCTTGTAATGGTGTCTCTTGACACCATTGCTAGTATGAGCTGTTTTGATTGTGTTTCTCTACACATGATTTGCCAAGGGCAGAACACTGCTATATAGGAAGCTCGCAGTCACTGCCCATTCTCCAGCCTCCACTGGATTCTCATCAGATCTCCCATTAAGCAAGGAAAGTTGAGGTTGGATATTAGGAAGAACTTTCTGACTAGGAAGGTGGTAAAACACTGGAACCGGTTACTCAGAGAGGTGGGGGAATCTCCATCCTTGGAGGTTTTGAAAACCTGGGTAGACAAAGCCTTGGCTGGAATGATGGAATTGGGGCTGGGCCTGCTTGGAGTAGAGGGTTGGACTAGATGTGACCTCCTGAGGTCCCTTCCAGCCCTCATTTTCTGTGGTTCTGTAAGGAGATTCATTGAGTTCCCAAAGAAACACAGAATGGTAAGGAACTTGCAGGGTCATTAGCTCCTTCCCCTGTTGCTGTGGGAAGCATGCATCATCCAAGCCATACAGCTAAGCTTTTGAGACTATGATCAAGTTCAGTTTTTTTTTTCCTTGCATGCCAGCTTTGCTCCAGTGCTGAAAGAACAGACAGAAGTGTTTGGTGGCAGCCTTTATACTCTGCAGATGTTGGCATGTGACAGCCAGTAGCGGTCTGGTTCCAAGCCGCCCTGCTTAGTTTGCCTGGAGGGCTCAATACCTTGTGAGCCAGGCAGCTTCAGCTGTTGTGCCAAGGAACTGGACAAGATTGAGAAGCTGGAAATCCTAAATGTGATTTTTTTTAGACAAGCAGAAGAGCAAGATGGGTCATCTTCCCCTCAAAGTCTTGAGTAAAGAAATCGCTGCTTTGGGGTAATACAGCAACGACTGTTCAGGGGGTAATACAGCAACAAGTGTTCAGGGACAACAGAGGAGCGTGTCAGGTCAAGCTGCAGAGCTACTGTGTGGTCAGCTGCCTCGGGTTGTATGCTGAGTTTGCAAAAAGATTGCATTTGGCCTTACGCTGAGGCTGCAGAAATGCTGCTCCCAGCCCTCATTTAGGTTTCTCTCCCTCTTTTGCAGCGCGCCTTTTGACAGGATTGCGGAGATAAACTTCAACATAGATGCAGATGATGACAGTGTAAGTGGGGCCTGGGGGTGTTTGTTGAACAGGGCTGAGGCAGCTGATCGGTGCCTACGTGAGGCAACTGCTGCCCTCGCTGTCTTGGAGAAAAGGGGCTCTCTGTGGCAAGGGAAGAGCAGCCCCAGTGCCTGCAGCCACAGAGGGGACTCAGGGCATTGACATCTGGATCGGTCCTGTGCCCTCTGGTTCGACAGGGTTTTGCATGTGGTCACTGGCCACGCTGGAGGGTACTTCTGTGTAAGTGCTGGCAGGCTTTGTTCAAACTGGTTGCTGTCTGAAGTCTCTCTCTGTCACCCTTTCCACTGACTGAATAGGAAAGGAAGCCAGTGAGGGTAAAGATTAGAGAGGGGTTCCTTAACAGCTCTGAATATTTCCCTGAATCGTCCTCAGGTGCAGGAGATGGATGGTGGTAGAAACAGACACCTGTTCCCTGACACATCCTGTCCTATTCAAAGCTGATGGCTTTTGATTCCCTTAGTTTTAAAAACACTTCCCTTTAGGCCTTCCCTCAAACAGTGTTGTGAAAGATGAGTTCCCCTTCCTTCTCGTCAGCCCAGACAGAAGTTCTCAACTGCAAAAATTCTTTGTTTTTTCCACTGAAAACTGCAAACTAAAACTGAAACCACAAATAGCAATTGGTATGCTTAGCTTAGCTTGTTCTTTTTCCTGACTGGAGAGGGTTTTGCGCAGCAAAATCCCACTACTGCTCTTGGTTTGGACAGTCCCATAACTGGTACGTGCTCCAAACCTTTAATTCAGAGATCCTGTAGCACTCGGCTTGGCAAGCTGTTCATATAAATACAGAGCAGTTTGACTTTGATTACTGCTAAGGCATCTCCCGTCATACAGAAAGTGCATGCACAAAATTCAGGATTATCATACTGATTTTATATGACTTAATTTTCACCGTGCTTTTAATGGGATTCTTTAGAAGGTAAGTATTTGGCTGAAAGCTCGTGAGGAGGCTGAGATGACACTGTAGGATGCTCTTTTGTCTGTGTGGAAAGGAGGCTGTCCATGGCCCTGTCCCCTTACTTTCTAAGGTCCAAGCTACTGAGCTTGAGTGGTGTGCTGTGAAATATCTCTGAGTGCTCCCTTCATGGCTGAGAGCCTCCCTGTGCCAGGGGATTAAGCAGAAACTTGGCTACCAGAACGGCACAGGAGCAGTTCAGAAACAAGTGAGGTTGCGACAGAGTGGTTCCTTTGACATCTCTTCTGGGTTTGCCTCGTTCAGACTCTTGTCTCTTCCTCTTCTGAACTAAAGCTCCCTGTTTTGGGTGCACACACAATGAAAAGGTGGAACAGTTTTGTGTCACCTCTGCTTTATGAATGCTGTTCTGCCCCAGGATCGTCCTCCAAGGATCTGCAGAACCTGATTTCTGTTTAACTGTGTTTCAGCCCAACGCTTCCCTCTTTGAAGCCTGCTGCAACGAACGGATTCAACAGTTTGATGATAATGAGGATGAGGAAGATATCTGGGAGGAGAAGGAAATAAGCTATGCAACCCAAGTGAAATCGAGAACACGGTAAGATGAAAGCAGAAGGTCTGTCTGTTGGCTGTTTCATATTGTTCCAGTTGCTTATTTGTTGTATGGATGTGTGCTGAAGCCCATCTGGTGTTATATGAATTGTTGTTCCTGGTGAGAGAGTTTGTCCTAGAATAAGACACCTATTCCAAAAGAGAGAAGCTGGAGGATCAGCAACAGTGTTGTAAGCATGAGAATACAGAACCCATAGTGGAAGAGAGAAATGAGGTTTATTTGAACAGTTTTTAGAAGCCAGTCCTTTTCTCCTCTCTGAGTGTAGAGCCATGGCTGTTAGAGAGTAAGGTGTAGAGAGAATTTTTAATTCATTTCATGACCTAGAGAAGAGATCCTTGTTCAGAATAGGAAGAAAAAAATGTTTTATAAGTGGGCTCTCATATGGTAAATATGTAATGAACTTGCACTTCTTTATCCTTTTGATTTAATAAATAATTTAAATCAGATTCTTTGATAACTGCAATTCGAAAAGATGTGAATAAATTAGCCAACAAAAATATCAAGGAGAGTGAAAGTGAGTTGTGTGGCACATGTCAGTAAACTTGATCTAGTTGCTAATAAGACAGGTATGTGTGTGTTACCCTAAGAAAGGCTCTGTTTCGCCTGCCTTTATCCATCTCACACGTCATTGAGACTGAGTCAGGTATATTGACAGTGCTCAGCGTGATTCTTGTAGGCCTGGTCTTGGATAATGTAGTGCAGGGGCGGGCAAAATACGGCCCGTGGGTCGGATCCGACCCGCCAGGCACTTTCATCGAGCCCACAGCACCCACCAACAAACTGTACCCGTCCAGCCCTCCCACCCACGAGCGTGGGAGTGAGGTGCCCACGTATACACATGCCCCCAACATACTCTATTGCACCTTGCTCCCACCCTCATGTGCGGAAGGGCCCGGCCATTGCAGCCACTGGGGACCTGCTCACTCCGGGCAGGAGGTAGGGGGCGGGGAAGCCGACACTCTCTCACGCTCCACAAATGCCCCACACCCACACCCTACCCCCACAACCCCACCCATACGTAGTGATACCCCCTCATAGCCCCCCCACACATACACACCCCACCGCGCGCGCGCACACACACACACTGTATACAAGACTAAGACTTTATTTTTGAGTTATTATGCAATCTCCTCCATATACATGACGCAAACACAAATCATGACAAAAATATTTTTTGTAATAAAATTAAAATATGTTATAGTAGATGTTTCATTTTAGTGCACGTTTTGGGGTTTTTTTGGTTCTAGGATGGAAACCCTCCATCCCAAAAGGAGTATTTCCGGAGTCAAGGGGAGGGACTTCAGGTGGCAATGGTCAGGGGTTAGGGGTGGGCCAAGATGGTGGCCAGGGGGTGGAGCAACTATCAAGGGGCGGGTCTATGCATGCAGCCCTCGAAAACTCAGCAAACCTCATTAAGCGGCCCTCCACCTGAAATAATTGCCCGACCCTGATGTACTGCGTCTATGTGGGGAATTTTTCACTCCTGTTGCCTGTGCACTGTATGTGTTTTGGGAATAAATACCCTGAAAAGGCTTCAGTCTCCACATGGTCAGTCCGGCACTTCTATTTGCATGGGATTCATGCGAAAAAATCCTCATTGACCCTTTGTGTCCATCCGCTGTGCCTGTGAGAAATGGTGTCCTTCAGTGCAAATGGATGGTGCCCAGTCTACCATCAGCCAGTGTGTGTGTTCAGAAATAGATGGGGCGGTCTTTGTTCCACGGTAAAGATTAACTGTACAAATCAACCTTTTGCCCTTAGATATGTTCACTCTTGTTGCTCATTTATTCACATGCTTGTTTCTTGTTAGTGTGTGCTAATTGTTCACCGTGCTTTTTCAGTCGTTGCAGTATCAGAAATGCAGTCAACCAAAATGCTGTGTTTTACGGTTTACAATTTTAACCTGATGTGTAAAAACTTCTTTGTGTCCTCTGTGTGCTCATAAATAACCAGTACATTTCCTGAGATTCAGCTTGTCTTTTGCCAGAAGTCTAATATTTTTACAAATTATTTTATGCATCTGTAGTGTGAGTTGCTGATGTTAGTGGGAAGGAAGTTTAGTTTGGACACTTTCTCACGAGGAGGGTGGTGAAGCACTGCAGTGGGTTACCTAGAGAGATGGTGGAGTCTCCATCCTTGGAGGTTTTTAAGACTTGGCTCAACAAAGCCTTGGCTGGGAAGATGTAGCTGGGTCTGGGTCTGGGGCGGGTCCTGCTTTGAGCAGGGGTTGGACTAGATACGACCTCCTGAGGTCCCTGCCAGCTCTCGTTTTCTATGATTCTATAATATGGGAGCATATAGGAATTTACATTTTTTGCTCACTGTTTGCCCAATCCTGGTATGCGGAAACTGAAATGTGAAAGAACATTTGCACATACAGTATTTTCATAGAATCATAGATGTTAAGGGCTGGAAGGGACCTCGAAAGATCATCAAGTCCATCTGCCCTGCTCTGGGCAGGAATACTGCTGAGATCAAATGATCCCGGCAAGGTGTCTGTCCAGTCTCCTCTTGAAGACTTCCAAGGTTGGGGACTGCACCACCTCCTTGGACGTCTGCTTTAGATTCCAGTCACCCTCACCGTAAAGAAGTTCTTCAACCTGAAACCATCCTCTAACAGTTCATGGCCATTGCTCTTTGTCCTCCCCAGGGTTGCCCTTATCCTTATTGAACTGTCTCCAGTTCCTTCCACCCACCTTTCCAGCTTGTCCAGGTCCGCTCGGATCCACATCCTATTCTCCAGCGTGATCACTTTTCCCCATAACTAACTATCATCCACAAACTTGACCAGTGTGCTTTCCACATCCTCACCTTAGTCTTTGATAAGGGTGTTGAACAGCCCAGGGCCAGGAACCGAACCTGCGGGACACCACTGGCCACTTCCCACCAAGACGATACAGACTCGTCCACTAACACTGTCCGGGTTCAACCCACCTGACCGTGGACTCTGCCAGCCC